GTGTGCTATACTGAATAATTTCAAAACGCGAATTCTTTACATAAAACTTTTAATTCTTATTTCTTTAATGTTAAAAATATCTTTAAGATGCTTAGCTTTAATTTTGTTAAAAATCCATTTCATGACATAAGGTAATAAAAAAATCGCGAGTAATGAAATTTTGAATGAAAACTTTCAATGGACAGTTTTATTTCAACATTTTAAGCCATACTATTAAAGAAATCAGAAACACTTGAAAGTATCTCAGTATGAAGTTTTCTTAGGCAATGTATATTCTGTGCCTTACTTTTAGGAATGATAGCTTCTTAAAATTTCTAAAAATATAACTTCAACAAATCCATCAATTTTCAACATAATATTAATGCTAGTCAAAAATGGACAAACCTAAAAACCTCCTCCTGAAAAAAAAAAAAAAAAAAAAAAAAAAAAAAAAAAATCCATCTGACAGAAGTAATTTCAAATTTACTCCCTATTTTAAAACCTAAACATTAATCCCCCCCAAAAAAATTTTACTGAATTATTGCAACAATGAGAGAGCTCATAAACATCTTTGGAAGCACTAAATTATCCTAATTAACGTTTCTTATTAAGAACAAATTGCTGTAATTTTATCTATGTCTTAGTTTGATTTTCATCATTGACACTGCGCCAGCTGAGAGGTAAGAATCGTTTCCTTCATTCACCTAAAAACCAAGCAGTCAAGGATGCGGCCAATATTTGGGAGGGAAACTACTGCAAAGACTTAATGAGCACTTCCCTACTTTCCACAATATTTTCTATTTTTTTAATAACAATAAATGTTATATCTATGAATTTATTTATGGAAATGTATTATCACAGACATTTAAAATTAAAGCATAACTTAATATAGTATTACATTATAAATATTAATATAATAGTAAACATTTATTGAATATTTAAGCACAAAAATTATTAATTGTAAAAAAAAAAAAAATCTGTAAAGTAAGAAATCAGATGCAAACACACTGCCGAATAAAATTTTTGAGTATAAATAACAGCAAAAAAAAAAAAAATTCTCAAATAGCAGATTTATGCTTTATACTTCCCTAGCATTTCAAGTAGAATGACTTTCACCAGTACCCTGTGTGCTTGCTTGCTTCACCACACACTGGCTTCAATTCATCAGTCACCTGAGGTGAGCCCAGGTTGGTTTATATTGTGTCTATGATAGCTTGCCTTCTTCTCCCATTCACATTCTTTGCCGATAACTTTGATGTTCATGTGAGTTCAACCTTTGCCATCATGCATGAAGGTACTTTGTGATTGATGCAAGTATGCAAGGAGGTTAGAAAAGAAGAAGTTGGGCTCAAAAAAAAAAAGAGAATCTTCAATTCAATGGATTTTAAAAATTCTACTTTATATATGCATTTTCATTGCACACACTATTTTGATATCCATAAGCTAAATGATGGACTTACAATCTGAAAGAAAGGCTTATACAAATATATTATTCTTAACTAAAATTTTAAGTGAAGTATGAGCCGAACATTTGTCTATGATCAGGACTATTTTTGCACCCCCAGGTAAACCAACTGAGGCTTACATGTCTATCACATAGGCCTCAGTAAACCAACTGAATTCAGCTGAGCCACAGGTATGAAATGATTTTCAAACCAACCATTTATAGACACTTGTGTTATATGTGTTTTTTTATTTGCATGATATATAACAGGAAACTCTTTACTTCTTTAAATATGTTTTTCAAATACAAAAAGTTTACACTTGTGCATTCCTGCAGCATATGCGCATGTGAAAATTGTTAGTTTTGCTTTGGAATCTTTGACACGAGTTGTAGCCTTTTCTATAGAGCTTGCCAAGGTATTTTGTGGTACATATTGCCAGAAAAGACCAGTTTCTTCAGCGCTAAAATTTTTTTCTGGAGATAACTTTTAACTATTAATGAGTTCAATGAATTCATTTGGAAATACTTCAGTAGCTTCAGTATCAGCTGAAGCTTTTTCCCGATATCACCTAGATGGAAGTTTTGAGAACAAATAAATTATCTGAAATTTTAATTAGAAATTTTGAAAATGCTAGGGAGTGGACAATTATCTCAATATATCAGATATTGGCAGAAACTTGTATCTTAAAATATAAAGACAAAGTAGATTGGCATAATATTTTTGCATATCAAAGACTATCAGAAAGATTTCTTATCGAGAATGAACACTTTATTTATTGAAATGCCGTACGCAGATGCTAGAGATCATCTGAAAATTTTATTACTGAATTATTACTGTTTATTCTGTATATTCCAATTACAGAATTCGAGAATTTCAAACTTTAAGTCATGACTTCATTATAGATAACTCGAGAAAATTAAATATGACATTAATTCCTAGATATAAAAAATATCAGAAATTATTATAGAACACTTGAAAGATGTTACAGATTGGAATGAGGTTTTCAAATATCTAACCCTCTCAAAATCTTTCACAATTAAACATATTGATAAAATAAAATATTGTGACATGATGTTGAAAAGATTTGTCTGAAGAAGTTGGAATATCACTTAACAGAAACTAATTTGAAATACTTTAGCTAACATTTGTTCAGAAATCTAATAAATTGATGCTTATTTTTAATTAAGTGCATCCAGTTTTTGGGGGCACTCTTTTTTCATGTTTTAAGCAAGGCTTTCTTCATATTTTTATCTCATTCAGTCTTTCATTCAGTCATTCATGTATTTTTATATACATTTTTTATCTTCCATCATCCACCCATTTTCATGTACTTTTTATTAGAAATTTACCACTTGTCTTTATTCGATCTTTTTGTACCTTTATAGATATTTTTTAATTTTTATCATTTTTCCATTTTTATTAGAAAATATGATTTTTTATAATTTGTCCTTGTTCATCTTTATTGTTTTTTATTTACATTTAGATTTAGTGATATTTATGCAATATACAATATTTTATATTCCCTGTTTCATGTTCTGGTATTAAAACACATTTCTTGCAGCCTCTGCCTCCCCACGAAAAAAGGCCATTGTATCACCATTTAGCCCTAGTAACTTGCTTAAATTCTTCAATAAACTCTGGATTGTGGAGGATGAGAGGTATATACTACCATACCTCTGTCACCTGCATCATTCTGTGGTAAAACTACCAATGGGAATATTTTGTGGCTCCTTGATGCCCTAAGCATATGCTTATTTTGCTTGATGGTTAATCCAGCACTGTCAACTGTTTTCTGCTATAGCTGATGAAGTAGATAGACCATTTGCAAAAGTTCTCTACTTTTATGTATGTTTAAACATGTTTTCAGCATGTCCCAGTTAATTTTTATGCCTATAATAATCTTTTTCAAAATTTTAGTAACTTTAAACGTAAATTTCTGAGATTTAAATTGATGAGATGACTTTTTTTAGAATTTTGAATTAGAAATTTCTTCTTCCATTCATCTGGCTTTCTACTGTGAAATGTACTTTTTATAAGCCATCCAGAATTTTCACTTCCTGTACTTTTCTAATAGTCAAATCTTTCACATGCATTCATCTATATCTTAAGTTTGGATCTTGTGTTTAAAGAAAGCATAGATGAAAAATTTAAAGTCTGTAATAAAATCTTTAATTGAAACTGAAAAATCATTTGGGAAAATCAATTTAAAATTTTAATTAAAAAATTAATTAGAAAATATGATTTTTTTTAAATAATTTGTCCTTGTTCATCTTAATTTTTTTATTTTATTGATATTTATGCAGTATACAGTATTTTATATTCCATGTTTCTTGTTATGGTATTAAAACATGTTTCTTGCAACCTCTGCCTCCAAAAAAATAGCCATTGTACTCGTATCATCATGTAGCTCTTGTAACTTACTTAAATTCTTCAATAAACTCTGGACAGTGGAGGATGCAAGATACATACTGCCTTAAAATTAATTATTTAAATTGTAGCATCACATAAATTTTAAATTAAATTAAATTTTAATTTAAAATTATTTTTTTCCCCAAATGGAATATCTGTTATCTGGTTTTTAGACATACTGTCAATATAATTAGGTGCACTTTGTATGTAAACTATCATGTTATTTAAGATTTATTGGGTTACTTAATATTCACAGAAATGTACTAAATAGGATGAAAACTAATTAAAAACTACTGAAATCATATTTCTGTTACAATAACTCAGCTCACAGAAGTGAAAATTTTTAGATGGAGATAATCAGTGAAATACTGCTTATTATAAGTACACTTGAATTACTTCACAACACTTTAACCTGTTATCAGCAGAAAATTATACAGTAGGACAGATAATTTTTGGATTTATCTTAACATTTCATTCCCTATCAGCAATGCTAAAGTCTGCAAGAGTTTGTGTGCTACTATATTATTGAATTTTACTTTTCATAACATAATTAGTCTACAACAATAAATTATAACATTTAGGCATTCATATCATAACTACTTCTGGTTATTTACATTTTAGGCATTCATACCATAACTACGTCTTAAAGTGTTTTTAAAATTTACACACAATGCAATTCCACTACTAGATTTTTTTTCAAATTGCTCGAAATTTTTAATACATTTATTGAGAAAAAATTGAATATAAGCAAAGCCACATTATTCATAATTGCATAAGTCAAGAATAAGCAGCAGTTGCATACCACATTTTATAACTGATTTACTAATTTGTTTTAAATTTATGTCTATATGGGTGATGCAGTAATACATGCACTGTTAATGGGTTGCAGTTTAATAATTTGGAAGTGTGAATTAATAAATTACATGATTAGTGTATATTATTAACAGATAAACCAAAAATAATTTAACAGAATATTTCTCAACACATTTTAAATTAAAATTCACACACACACACCCCTAAAAAAATGTTTTTCAGATACTTATATTTTCCTGACAATTTTTGTTCGTTTTATAAAAGTTTTATACACATCAAACTGCTTACATAATTTATCAGTCAAATGTTAATAAGCAAATGATCCTAAAGAGGGAACCATTTAAAGGTGCTTACCGAATTGAAGAATGTTTATTTTTATTTAGATCATTCAAGAATTTCTTTTCATTTACTCTTAACTGAATATCTTCAAATTCTTTACATGATGAAATCAAACATAACTGAAAATGAAATAAAAGAAAAGAATTACACACATTTTGCTTTAAATATAAATGCAATGCTTTTACATGAATAAAACATATTACATGAATTCTGAATCACATCTTAAAATAAATTTCATAAAATCAACAATTTTACAATTATTATGATATAAATAGAAAAAAAATTAAATCCATGAATTTAATGTATGATACTGATTAATATTTGCAATTTTTATGCAAAGAAATGCACTTTCAAAAATAAAAAGAATATAAGTAGGACTAAAACTATATTGTGGTACAAATTTATTACAAAACGTCTTGAAAAGAATAAATTATACTGAAAGCTTCCTAAATAACACAAACCAAAAACTGAAATGTTTTAGTATTATTTTTAATACATAAAATTACTCTTTAGTTTTTCAAAATTTCTATCACATTAAAATTCCTTATTACTCAAATTTAAATTTCTGTTCTTCAGAATAACAAGTTTTTTTTTAAGGGATGCTAGTGAATTTAAAAATTAGAGGCAGCTTTTAAGTAAAAAAAATCTTTAGTTGCTTAAAAACTATTAGAGCATTTCTTAAATTATAATACTTCGAAGACTCTTTCATCAGGATGTGCGCTTTGCCAGATTCCTAACCATTAATTTTATATTTTTGCTTACTACAATAAAAGTATTTTCATATATAACAAATTATTTACATTTTGTTACATAAATTACGAATTTCCAATCTAGTTTGTAAATTTTTCAAAAATTAGCTTTGTTAAAAATTTAATATATATATTATATTTTTCAATACTTAAAATGTTTACTTTTGATTTTGGTATTTTTATGATTCAGGATTTTTCTTTTTACTTTTTTACATTTTCACTGCAATAGAAGTCTAGAAATACTAATTAAAATACTGTATACAAAAATAATTTATTATAATAATTTATGGTTTTAATTGAATTTCTGTTCCTAGGAGATGATATTAAAATTTTTCCAATAAATTATATATACGTATATATTTGCAATAATTTGTTCACTTTTAGCTAAAATTAAATTTATTTCTATTTCTACTGGCAAATGTGATTATGTTTCTTTGACATTAAGTATGACGTATCAGATTTAGCATTTGAAATGAATATGCATGTTTGATTTAACTTATAACTTCAATCATTTTCATAAATGCAAGAAAGAAAAGTAATTACTAGTTATTTCTTTTACCAGTTCTGTGTAGATGATAGCCTCCAACAACAAACAAAATTCGAGACGTTTAGTCTGCTTGAAAGCAAATTTTATTAGCCATTACACTATAATTTCCCAAGCTGACCCATTCTGACGAATTTAACATTTTGAAAACTATGAAAATAAAATCAAGGACTATAAAACTTCTTCAAAAGCATCAGAGAGGGGTTTTACACAATGAGGAAGGAAAATTTGTATTAATAGGTGGCAGCATATTACAGGCAGGATTAATTACACACGAAAAGCCAATAAACATGTTCTACAATATTCATTCAACAGCAAAATCATTTACACAAGTTTAATACATGCTGAGAAAGGCTCTATTTCTAGAAATATTAATTGCTGATATGAACTTTCCAATATAAAACTTTTGAACATATGATAAAAATTTTATTAAAAAAAACTTCAACTGAGGAGGGGAAAGGATTTAATTGTTATAGGGTGCTCATAGAGTAAAATTTGCAGTGAGTGAAATATTCATCATGCCTTACTGTAGTTTTTTATTAAAAATTATTTTATGCACAGAATCTATAAAATATTTCAGAAAATTCTGAAAGGGGCATCTGCAAATTAAATAACAAGATACTGTTTTCCCAGAATGATATAAATGCTCTGACTGCTTATCCTACAGTTTCCACAGGCTACATAAATGTAGCAAAATTTTCTCATCCCGATATATCTACGAGCACGAGTTTGTCACCTCTATAAAAATCATATCATGGAGATTTAATGTTTAATGCAAGTAATGCATTTTGTGCAATATTTAAATCAAGCTTTCTTCAAGAGACAAGGTTGGTTGCTCACTAAATTCCATATATTTGCACAAATTTCAAAAACTGGTATGTAGATTTCAAATATGAAATTAAAAATAAAAAGGTTAAAATAATTGAGCACTCGTAGGATTAATTGTCACACCTAATTGCTTCTTCAGTAGCTGTTTTTTAAATATTCATATTTCATGTAAGCATATCCAAAACACTGAAAGACTCTAGGACTCAGCCAAATGGCCCAATTAAAAAACTGCTTGATTATGCAACACCATATGGATTCCCAATTTAAACAAATTTATATGACACCAAGTTCACAAAGATGATGATAACTATTTATTGTTATTTTAAACTGGGAATTTTGCACTACTGTAATGACTAATGCAAGTTTTAATGAATTTCTGTCAAATAATGTCAAAGCTTTAGCTCTTCTTTTAAAATCTTTTTACATGCTGCATCCATAATTTGTATCTGCCGATTATCTGACTACATAAAGAGCAACTTGTTTCTCTGAATTTCTACCAGAATGACAGGTGCAATTCCAGCAGGTTCTCCAATAATTCTTACAGTGACAGAAAAATATAAAAGTACTATCTGTTTCTCCAAAGTGAAATCGTTAACTGCTACAGCAAGTTGTTCCTTTTTGTAGTTTTCCCTAAATCTGTTCTGAAATGTATTGAAACATCAGAAATATGCTTTGAAAAATGACAGTAAATCATTACATCTGCTCTTTAATATTTTACAAATTGAAATTTTTCACCTAAAAAATTTTCTTCACTAGAAAGATTTTCTATGTTAGAAATTTCTTAAAAAAAAAAAAAAAAAAAAAAAAAAAAAAAAAAAAAAGGAATTTTCAAATCTATTGAACCATTATGTTACATTATATCATCATGACATTTATCACCTATATCAACAAATTCAATTTGCACACAAGCGGACACCAGCTCACATGCCAGATTTTTTTTAACATGAAAACAAATTTAACAAAATAAAAAACAATTTTAAACTACAGTTTAAATCTTACTTACTGTAGTTAAAACTTACTGTAGTTAAAAGCAATAATAATGCAAAGGGAAAAATTCAAATTTATTGTATTTATTTTCTAACTGAAAAACCAAAGGTTTGTATCTGCGAGAAAATTCTGTTGGTTACGGTTTGTACACTGGTCAACAAAATTAAAGGATAATAACAGAAATAAAATGTGACTGATACTTAATGAAAAATTCTTAATAAATGTTTGTTCAAAAGCATTAGTTAACATAAATTACAATGCTGGGTGATTGAATGTTTGCAAAATCTTAAAATTAAAACCCATATTTATGGAAATTGGAAAATGATGGAAAATTAAGTCACCTCTTGAGGAAAATTTTTTTTTGTTCAATATGATGTATGGTCACCTCAGACAGATATGCATACCTCAGATGTAGATTTCATACACTTTACCAAAGTGTTGATCAAGTCTTTTAGAATTGCATGCCACTCTTCTAAAAGTGCATTTTTCAGCCCCTGGGGAGTCCAGGGAGGAATTTTGTGCACTGAAATTCAGCACCCTATTGCATCCCACACATGCTCAATTGGGTTCAAGTAGAACCTCCTTGAAAGATATGCAGCTCGCTGTGGCTATTTGTCATGATTAAACCAATAAACCACAGTCACAGAAACGGGGTATTTTATGAACAAGGGAGGGCAAGTTGCATGCTCCTTCCACTCTCCAGATAAAAACATATCTAAAATCATTGTTAAGACTATATCCAGACTTGTCAGTAAACAATATGCAGTCCCGGTTAACTTAACTCCATTGAACATGATGATGGTGCCAGTTTAAATGGAACCCTCTGGAAGCTGGAGTGAGTGAGACATAAACCATTGGTTTTCTTGCATATAGTCCAACTTCATAAAGGCTTCGTGCAGCAGTAGAATGGCTAATTTGAGCTCCTCTGGCAGTCTGAAGGTCTAAAACCAAACTTGTTGTAGTCGCTTCACAGTTTCTTCAAGCTGATGATAGAAAATCGACTTCGGATGCAGTTGTTGCTCTTAGTCACCCTTGACCAGGCTGACCATCAACTGATCCAATGCTTAAAAAGCAACTCCAAACTCTTGATATAACACTTTAAGGGATATCGAAATCTTAGGTGATCTCCATTTGTGTTTGACATCCCTCAATTCTACCAATTATTTGTCATTTTTTATCTTCAGTTAAATGATGACTTTGGGTCATAACTACTGAATACTGATTACTCTCAGAAACCACATTCACTTTAAACAACATTACAGACCAGAATTCCAACATATGTCAATTGTGCACCATATTGTCAATCCCTGAATTTGTATATTTTCCGGTGTTAACATATGCACAGAAGTGCAATTTTGTGTTCAATTGTATTTAATTAACGCAAATATATTTACAGTATTGGGCATCGGTTACATTACTTAACCAGCATATTTTTTCTCACTATCTTTTAATTCTGATGACCAGTGTAATTCGAGGATGAGGACAGTTAAAGAATACACTCTTTTGCAAAAAAATCGAAGCAACAAGAAGGACTTTTGTGACTGCAATGAAATTTGGTATGCAAAAGCATCTTGATTGAACATGCAAATGACCAACGTTTCAAGGCAAATGAACAGGAATTGCGATCATAGCGTGCGTTTCTAGTGCACAATTTGCAAAGTATAAAACCAGTAACAGAGGCAGAAAATTTATCTTTTTTTGTTGCTGCCATTGTAATTCTGTAGAGAAGCAACTAAAGATAGCATTACGATGATATCGAAGACCTTACAGACAACTAAATGACTTCGAACGTGGTTGCGTGAGGCTGGGTGGTCATACAGAGCAATAGATTAGGTCACCACCTGCTCGTACAGACATTGCTGTGCAAAGATGTTGGCAGCAATGGTTGCTACAAGGAAATTGGCGATGAAATGAAGCCTCTGGAAGGCCAAGGAGCACAAATGCGAGGTGAAGATAGGATGAATTGTTCGCCGGGTCCGATGATGATACCAATTGTATCATTGTTGACTAT